TGTTAAATCAATTAAAATTCAAAATTTCGTTCGGTTCCCAGAATTTTCCAAGTTGTTGGCCCCGGAAAAATGAAACGCATACGTAAAACATAGAATTGGATAAATACCGTCCAAGCACAAGAATTTAATGTAATTGTGTTTTGTATAAACTATACATCATGAATCTGTTTGAAAATTTTATGCTATAATAGCGTCAACGCACGTTTATTTCGTGTTATAAAGTCTGCATGCAGAGTCCCTCGGAACTGTTGAAGCCCTCGCCCTACCGTTCCTCGGGACTCTGCAGACGTTATATTACACGGAAAAACGTGCGTTAACCCTATATTGTAAAAATTGCGAACTATCTATTGATGATAAATAAACAAACGGGGCTCAGTCCACAAACAAAGCACGTGATAAAGGCGTTCGTTTATCCATGCTAAACAAAGGTCCATCCTTCTTTTCAGATACAGTTAGTACGAACCCCGAACATCATCCGACATGTCCTTCAAAAGACAATATTGAAGCCAAGGTGGTAAAAATTGAAATTTGAAAAGGACATAATACCCCTATCCGATCTTCGTCCTAAAAAATTAAAAAGAACAATGCGCAAACACGCTATCATAGAATGTCAACTGTATTTGATTTATGGTATATACATGTATAAAAATGTAAACATGCACGTGCAAGTAAAGGTGCACGTGCAAGCAACAACTCATATGACAAGCTTTATAATTCAATTTACATAATTATATGTATTCATGTACATGCATACATTGATACATTAGAAAACATTGAGAATATTTAAAAGATTTACATGCCTATGCATGCTCAGTTATTATTTTCGATACAGAGATAACAAGTTAGAATAATCAGTACGGTACTGTACGGTATATAGAGCAATACGATACTGTAGTTAAATGATTGGGAGCAGCAATATAACCATTCCTCGCCCCCTCCCCCAACGACTCCAAAATAAAAGAAATACTTAAAAACATTTATATTTTTTGAAAAAAAAAGAGAAGATATACACATTAACAAAAACAACTAAGATAATTTTCAGATTAAGAAATTAAGATCAAAAATGAAAAACTCACTTCAAAATATCGCGCCATGACTACGAAAGCTGTTTGCGTCAGTATGTTAAAACTTAATGGCGAAGATCGGCTGCCATAGTTTTGGTTTTTATACATCAAGTGGCATGAAAAACAGATTCTCAAGATTATTGGCATGACACTTTTTTCAGTTAAATTTGGTTAAATTTTGCATGACACTTTTTCAGTTAAAATTTTAAAAGAAATGCTGATTTATTTTTGCAGAAATTTTGCTAAAACGTGTATTAACAATACAAAGAAATAGTTCTTAAAATTTCACCGATTTTCTATAATTTTTGAAGGATATTTCTATATCAATATAATCAGACACACGCTATATATTTAATCTAATGATTACGTTATCTTCTTTTCAAAGAAGTGTTTAAGAATTCATACAAATTAAAGATAGTAAGGTTATAAATTAATACGTTTAATGGTGTATACTATATGATCCTGATTTATACATTTTCTTATAGAATTGGTTTTTATTTTATTTGTTGCAGACGTAAGTGAATGAGATAGAACTAATCGGTTCAACCGGACTCAACCGGACTATGTGTTGCATCTGATTCTGAGGAGATGGGATCTTGGTTCAAGCCTACAATAGAACATGCACCGTGTCCGCCCTTTTTCGTGGATAATGTGTACGAAATATTCATAAATCAAGCGCGGGTGAACAATCTTACAGCGGATGTAACAGAGGAGATCCGAAAAAAATGTTCCATAGATATTCCTACGACGACAACTACCTCAACAACAACAACAACCACTACTACAACAACAACACCAGAACCAAGTACAACTGATAAACATCCAACCACAAGAGAAACTGTAACAGAATCATCAAACGTCACAACATTAAACGTTACTGTAACGGACACGACAAACACTTCCGATATAAATAGAACTTCAACAAATGGTTCGACGTCAACTGTCCAGACGACGGAAGTTTATTTGAATACGACAATTGAAAGTGAAAACGTTACGTTACCAAACGTAACGGAAGCTGCAGTAAAGGAATCAGTAAGTTCAGCTGGGTGTAATACGATTTGTATAATTGGAATCGGGACAGGAGCGGTTTGCCTTTGTCTACTGTGTTTACTATTCATTGCCCTTGCAACGTAAGTTGATGGTTTTCTTTTCTTTCTTTTTTCCAATTCAATAACGTTCAACACTTCTGTTGGCAAACTACATGTATATGCACTTTCAACTGTGAATTTTTAGTCGTTTATGAACTGGCTAAAAGGATTTTTTAACGAAGTGACAATTATGCCACAATCTTATCTGACCCCAATTGCCTACTATTCAGTAAAGTGACGTCAAATTTGGCGTCATGATCGAGCTATCATTTACCTATTTACCCATCAGTACACCGCAATTAACCACAGGAAACAAACGCAAAAGTTTGTTGTAGTAATTAAAAAGCCACATTTTTTTTCAAGCGTTATCAACGTTAAGCCAACTAGGACTAACTTTCAGTCAATGGTTACACATTAATTAAGACAGACATTCTCTTGAAAATCGTACTTTTAGCTAAGAACCTTTTAACAGATTTTTATGAGTTATCATGTTTTCGATTTAAATGATATCTTTCAAGAGATAAACGGAGCAGTAAAAGCAGATGATAAAAACATCTGCCCGAAGTTCGGCAATATTCCAAATCGTTAACCACGCGCTTATGTACTTTCGGTGTGTGAGTAAATAAGTTCAAATCTTCAAGTCGTCTGATTCAATTGTCGTCTGATTAACATCGTCTTATTGTCGCCTGCTTACTATCATGTTAATTTCGTCATAATTATGAAGTGTGTCAGTATGAAGTGTTGTCAGTTGCCGATTTTGAACATGCTGAGTCATGCATGAACATATAGCTGATAGCTATCATCATTTATTTATGAGGCATCATTTTAAAAAAAACACTTTTATTTCTTAAAGGCACATTATGCCTCGGTAATGAATAAATGTATTTTTCATTATGCAGAAAAAGAAAATAAGTGTGAAAAAATGTTGTGAAAATTGATTTATAACATGCGAGATACCCATTATCTGAATAAAATAATGTTGAATGTGAAATAAATTGTGACAATAAGGTAGAAAAATGTAAACAATGTGTATTTTGACTTCCATATAAAATACTAATTTACTATAATTTACAAAGTCCCAAAAACGCCAAATAAACAAAAGATGGCTCAGAAATATGACCAAAAAGTAGCTTTCTGAAAAATGTAACAGGACAACAAAAATGAAAACCTTTTGAAAAATTAAAATTATAACATTTATAAGGCTTAATGGGCCTTTAAATATTTTCTATGTTTTCTTTTCTTTGCTTTACATGTTGTCTTTACATCACAATGAAACAATATAACATTTTTATTCCCCATGATTATCACCTCAGTCGCAGTGACATCGAAACATGGTAAAATAGATCATAATTGAGCCGCGTCACGACAAAACCAACATAATGGGTTTGCGACCAGCATGGATCCAGACCAGCCTGCGCATCCGCGCAGTCTGATCAGGATCCATGCTGTTCGCTATCAGTTTCTCTATTTGCTATAGGGTTTGTAAGCGAACAGCATGGATCCTGATCAGGCTGTGCGGATGCGCAGGCTGGTCTGGATCCATGCTGGTCGCAAACCCATTATGTTGGTTTTGTCATGACGCGGCTCATATTAATGTACTCGTTTTATATCAGACAGGGTCAGTAATAAATAACAATAATTATGATAATTATCTTTCGGTATGCAATAAATTATATTAAGTTGACCAGCACCTGACGTGGTGATAAGACGAACCATTTGCCTAGCTGTACATATATATTTGGCCTCTTATCTAGATAGGTGTGCTGAAAATCTCCATAGATATGGAATACATGTTGCGCCTTCTATATACTTGTCTGTAAATATATATCATTACATGTTTTACTACATCCACATTTTATAATTGTTACGGTGAATAAGAATAAAATACTGGTACATTACTGACGATAAATTTTATCGATTCAAAGTTAAATTCATTTTTTGTTATATTTATTATTATTATTAAATTATTATTATTATTTTATTTATTATTATTATTATTAATTTATTTTGTTCTTCCTTTCATTTTTTTCACTTTAAAAAAATGATGTTACTGTGACAGCGTTATACTCGTACAAAGTATTATTTTTATGGTCAAGGGCTGGACAGGCATGTATTCTTCTGTAGCCTTAAGATCTGCTCAATTGTGTAATAATTTGTCCTGTATAGAAAATAAAAAAGAAAAAAAACCCCAAAGAAATCTCTGCATAAACATAAACCTTAAGGACATACAAAAATTTAACAGCTGACCTCTTGACTCCCTGACATATATATATACATATTATTATCTCCTCACTATTCTTCGGAATTTAAAGTTTATTACACAAGTTGCTACAACTTGCAATTGATTTACATACTTTATTATAATCGATGTGAAAATCTAATTCATTCATCCTTAAAGCAACTCACTCTAATAGTATTTAATTATCTTCACTGAAGAGAGCAGAAACAGTGATATCAAAGTTTTTAAGGTTAGTTTATAGTAATTAATTTTATATAAGTTCGATAGTGTGGTAAGCTATAAGCTTATTGAAACATTTTCGAATCTTTCCTGGAACCAACCATTACCAAGCAATGTGTTTCATGCTCATAGAGACAACGGCTTGTTTCTGAAGGGGTTTGAATCCACGCGGCGAGCAATCCTTAGATTACCATTCGGCCACGCAGCCACTCATAAAAGAGCTTTGAGGTTGGTGGAATTAGAAAAAAAAAGAAATAAATAAAGAAAGAAAGAAATGAACTTAATGAATGAATGAATGAATGAATGAATGAATGAATGAATGAATGAATGAATGGAAAATTAAAAAAATTCTTGAATATTCTTTGGACTTGGGCTATTGAAATGTTTAAAGAAATACCTATACGTACCTATAGTCAGCCCATTTGTTGCTATAACGATAAAATGAACTTAAACAATGCACTTTTGTTTTAGTTATTTGACACCTTAATGACAATATTTCTTGTAATGATTGACAATCGATCGTGTATAATAAGTAGCTGTAAATAAAAACAAACAAGTCCGCTCTTCTACTTTTACCACCTTAGTTTACTTTTTTGACAGATATATTGATGTTACGGACTAAACGCCCTGGCCGAATATTAAAACGTTTATTGAGTCATTTACGTTCAAGGGTTACAAGACGGTGTACTTGTAAGAATAATTACCGATAATTACCGAATAATGACCGAAATGACAATTTATGCGTCCGATGACCCGGATTTGTGGAGCGTTCTGTGTCTAAAAAAGAAACCCCTCAGTGTTTAGCGTTCTATTTTTATCGTGATTATTTCGAACTTATTGTATTGTTTTTAGGATACATATTAATATTTATTTATGGTTCAAAGTTTGCAGACGATAAATGCACAAAGATCTGAGCATAGCATAAATTGCTGAAGTAAAAAAGGATAGCAATAAGAAAACTTTAACAATTCAGAAAAAGATAAAAAAATATATGTAGTTCTTGATAAATGGCAAACCGACAAGGATGTAAAATTGTAATTCCTAATGTGTCTTAACAAAATTAGTAATAGGAAATTAGGAAGTTGAAATCAGGAAGTGGATATCAGAAAGTGGAAATAAGGGAGCGGAAAATACACACAGTGATTCACAATGTGGCATGAACTTAAAAGGTGCGTTCAATCTGAATTTAAGATAAACTTTTTATGAGATAAATAAAGATATGACGCTACTGCCTTTTTACTTACTTGTCGCAATTTATGCATATTTACTTTACACGGATGTTATTTTTTTATAAAAAAATACAACAAAAATACGCTGAACATAAAGAAGCAAAAACGTTTTCAAGTATATTAAATATATTCACGTCACGCTGTTTTCCCCCAAATTTCAATTTTATCAAAGTGATAAAATGCATAAAAAGTAAAAGAAGATTAATTCAAAAACACTTCTAAAAGTACAAATTGGCCTGTACGAAAACGACACGTATCAATCGCTTTACTTATGAATACAGAGGTAAACAGAACAGATCATATTCACAGTTCATCTTCTGCAATATTTAAGAAAATAAATTTGTTAACCTAAAAAAAAATACAACAACTATTAGTTTTTCCAAAAAAGCTAGGTATTGCCATTTAGCCGGATATTTGATTTTTTCCGTGAAATAGACTCCTTTCTGAACATAAGATTCTTCAGGAATTCTTCTAGGATTCTTTTAGGAAATATTCCGGATATTGTTTACCTGACAGGAGCCCACTGGTTCCGAGCATCGTACATGAAAATAGTATATGTATTTCAGTTCTTAAGGTAACCCGACAACAGCATGGCGGATGGTGTACCCCGTAGGCGCCCATTTGTGAGGTCTTTCGTCGTCCATTTTGTAATCATATGGTATTAAATTCTTCATTCTGATTGGCTTAGGACAGTCGGTGTACGGGTAGAAACTGTCAAATCTTGTTAATATGTCGTAATGTAATGAAATTTACGTGTAAGTGGTCATAATCATTTACGTAACAACTTTCATTATAACATGTAAGATATGCGTTTATTCATAGTCGCCAATATAAAACCAAAATTCAGAAGAATAATACATATAGTATGTTTTTTAATTTTTGGGGTAAAGCTTAACCGAAGAAACAACTTGTTCTTTAATGTGCAAAATTAAAAGCACCATGAAACGTGACTCAAGATTATTTTTATCCAGTGTAATTTGGGTTGCAGAGGTTTGAACCCGCGATCCATGGTTTTAAGTTACAAAATGTAAACACTGGACCACATCGAACGCACTAGTGGTCGTATATCATTTATATCTTTATATCTGTGAATTTGCCACATATCTTTATATCTGTGAATTTGCCACATATCTTTATACCTGTGAATTTGCCACATATCTTTATATCTGTGAATTTGCCACATATCTTTATATCTGTGAATTTGCCACATATCTTTATATCTGTGAATTTGCCACATATTCAAAAGACTTTTGCATGTACTTACGGTCTTTTTCGTATTTGATAGAAAATCTTTTTTTTTCATACTAGAATCTGTGAGCAAGATCTCTGAGTTACTTGTGTTAATACCGTAATTTTTGTCGTTAAAGTAGTAGGAAATATTTTTGATTTGCAGTGCGGGGGCATTCAGCGGCTTTCCACGTGGGGATGAACTTTTACCGAGGGTATAATGATTCCAAAAGCAAAGTTTCCCGCTATATCTCCGTGGTGGAGGAAGGAATTTTTCATTGATTTATTGACTGGTGCACTCACAGATTCTCATTTTTGTTTCAGATTATTCCGTAAAGGGAGACAATCTCAGACGCGAAGCCGTTCACAATCAAGGAGCCGCTTTGGAGACATGCCTGATGTCGATTTGTACGATAGTGTTGACATAGGGGTTTGTATTTTAATCTCAGTGATATAAGTATTTGACACTATCATTTATATGTCGTATCAACTAGTTTTAATTTAGTGGTGAATGACCGTTATTTCAATTATTCAACACCGTGAAAAGGTTGAGGCTTTCATTCTAAAGTTTTTAAACTCAAATATTGTAAAAGAGAAGCCAACTGACTAATTGCTTTGAACCTACCTACCTTAAAGGGTTTGAAACCCTTGCAGCATGAATTCACTTTTTCTAAGTATAACATCTGCAGTCAAAATTCAGTTTTTACTTGTAGGTATCATGTACGAATATTTTTAAGAAAAGCAAAAGCTAAATAATGTATATTTTTCACCGAATCACTCGTGTTTTTTTTTGTTGTTTTTTAGGATTCTCCTGCAAGCAAGAGGAATAGCGGCTCATCATTATTCCGACGGTCCGGAGACTTCACCCGATCCCCTCCAGTTGTTTTTGACAACCCTGCTTATAGGCGTTCGTTTGAGTTACGTCCCAGTCGATACAACAGTTGGTACGATCCTGACGCCACGGATTTTAACTATTCTCAGAATAATGCAAACCTAATAGCCAGAAAATCCCGAAACTCAGAGAGACGCTCTGTTTCAACATCTCGGCTAAATGATAAAAATACGCATGCGCAAGAACATCGCCGTCACGGAAGTAGTAGTTCCTGGCATTCATCCATACGCGATCACGTACCCAAAATGTTGAACAGTAGTAGTGAAGGCGATTTTGAACAAAGGTCGCCGTATCTTTATAGTTCCCAAAATAGATTGATAAGCAATGGTGTCAACAATTCTCCCGGTCTACCAAGGACTCCAATTGAAAACGTAGGGAATCAAAAAAGACCAAACTCGAAATCAAAACATTCGTATAGGTCAAGGTCTTATGATCCAGATTTGTCCACAGGGTCTGGATCATTGGAGGAAACTCAATTTATGTCGATAAATAATGAAAGGTCAAGAGGTCAATATATGAAACATAACCAAAGCAAGAAAAATGTAGCCCGTGAAAGGAAAGAAAAAATGAGCAAACGAAAGGACAGACGACCAACAGATATTGACATTCCTCACGATAGAATATACCGAAATAATAGTGAAAATAGAAATAAATATTCACCAATACAATACCCGCGAAATTCCAGCTATAGAGGAACCGAGTCTCACATTCTAAGTTCTAATTTACATCCCGTTTCAACGAACTATAACGGCGTAGGAGACAACTACGGTCGAAATCGAAGCAGAACGAATAGTGATAGGAGCCCGGATGTGGATGATTATTACGCGGGTCAAGGGAGATCATTCAGAGATATAAGTTCAGACAATAACAGACGATACAACAACAGACATAGTTCATACAAACCTGATAGAAATGAAATATACATGTTTCAAACAAAGCTATAACAGGGATCTATAAATAGTATCTATTTCATGTCTCTGGTTATAATGTATTTTATAAGCTGATTTTTTTCGACCGAAGTCCGTGTGAGAGCGGTTTGACTTCCGTCCAAACTATTAAATAATCTAAAGGAGTATCGGAAATAAAACTTTCTAGTTTAAATTTCTTGGATATTTGAGATATCTGAGATCTGTGAAACGTGTTTCCTCCCATTTTACACTGATTTTTGACTTTCATTAATTCTCAAATGAATAGCTTAATCAACATGAGAAGATATTTAGTTATAAAATACTTTTTTATAAGTTTTGTCCCAATAAAACGGGACTACCAATAACGCTCACGATTCCGGAAACACATGTGTATACCAAAAGACAACAACAACAAAAAAATCTCGACATTGTCTGGCACTCCCATTAGATTATGTTCAGTGTTCATAATATTGATGCTTTTTGATGTGTTCAATTTATAGATTTCTAAATTTCCTTATTTATTACATATTTATAAAGCATATATCAATATGTACATGAGTACGTTAGTGTAAGGTCCACTTTCCGAAACACGATAGTTTCATTGAGAAACATATCTTGCAGTGATTCATGATCATAGATATAAACATTAAATGTAATGACAAAACTCCGAAGTAAAAAAAGCACTTCGTCCGGGTATGTTTTTATAGATTCTTCTTGTTTCCTCTCGTATTTTAATCGGCTATGCCAGCTTCAGCTTTGATAGAATCTTTTTGATAACTTTTTGCTGTTTGGATAACACTTCTCAAAACCATATCTTAAATACATGTTCATGTTTTATTTTTATAAAACATTCTTTCAAACTCTTCTCTCTTTGTTTATTTTTGTACGACTATATTTTTTGCGAACTGCACGAATAAACGACATTCGTGATATCCAAAGTCTACATAAGGAGTTTATAATCATTTAGTCTTTTTTAAGGTGAAAGGCAAAACCTTCCAGATTCCACTGAAAACTTGAATTACTGTTATGTAACAGAAATGTTTCTAATTTAACTTACAGTTTAATTTTATGGAAGAGTATATCTGCCAGTTAAACTTTTGCGTTGTTTGATATTCTAACATGCTAATTCTTATTTTATCACGATAGTTTGCACGTAAACATACATGCTTATTATTAGTATGACTCCTTTTTTACATTAATTAGAATAAAAAATGTTATACTAGATCCTGTTAAATTATTTTTTATGGTTTTAAATCTCAAATATGATGCTCAAATTAAGATTTATCAATATTGTAGGTTCCAAAAAGCATTATTAATATTTATAAAGATATTACCGAATTTAACATTTCATATAAATAAAGGGACTCCGAGGTAATTAGAAATTTATTTTCTATAAAGTTTAATAAAGGATATGCACACATATTTGCAGTACATATTTTACATATTCTTCGATGTTTGAAAATTGTTTTATTTGCATTATTATGTACATATATATAATTTCACTAAGTGTGGTTAACCAATTTGATCACAACATACAGAATGTTTAATTCATATAAGAAAAGTGTCATTCTAATGTATACTAAAGCATGTTTGCGTACAAAGTATCATAATATAATAAGAATAAGCATACTAGAATATCAAACAACACAAAAGACGAAAGGCTGATATTTTCTTCCATATTATTATTTACCAAGTCTCATTTACCATGCAATAATGATTTCTTACTTTTACTGTGCAAAAATCTGCCATTTTTTCTGGACCATTGAGATAATATCATTTATTAAGGAGTGTCACGTTTTGTTTTTAATCTAAATCTGCACCATCTTTCGAGAAAATGAATAGCATTCCAGGAAAATTTGAGATTAGAAACTTAATAATTCATTAGACAAATTTACAATACATCTTATCACTAGGTAAGTCTGTACAGACTATGCAGATTCCGTGTCTTATCTCACGTGCCAATCTTTACGTCTGCTTGCAGATATTTTGTAAAACAACTGCTCAAAATGAATTTATTACACTTGAACATTCATGGAACCATGTAACGTAAATAAGTTTATCAACTCTTTCAAATTTTAAAAAAATAAAAATGTTTTTGTAACCAAAACGATCTGGTCAGTATAGCATTATATAAAGATACATGTATATCAGGTTACATTGCCCTGATTTCCCCAGTTGTTTTTATGGAACGCCTAAAAAGCCAGCATGACTTGATGCTCGCTATTGATATGGAACGTCTGAAATGCCAGAATGACTTGATATAAGCTGAACATTGAAATCAAACTGCTTAAACGCAAGTATGGCAGAATGAAAATCTCCCACGATACGTTTTGAAAAAAGAAAACCAACCAAAAAACTAATTTTTTATCGTTTTCTAAAACAGGCTTTATCTACTTTTACTTCACCTAGAGTATTAAAATATGTTCGTATCGTTGCTTGGCACCAATGTTTAATAAATCTTCAAAATATTTTTATGTAAAGTATTAAAACATAATTTATTGCATATGTATATTATTCTCGTTTACTATTAATTTTTATATCTTACAAATTTATTTCAGATTCTATATCCAATATTTGCTGCTAATAAAATGTTTCAACATGTTTATAAGTATACGAGTATTTTTTTTTGTGTAAGCGAGATGAAGCAGTCGTTATGTTCAAAACCTTTAAAGGCACACTTTGCCTCAGAAATGAATGTTTTTTTCTTCTTCAGAAAAGTTTAACATGAGTTTTATAAAGTTGTTTTAGAGTATGTGAGATACTTATCACCTAAAAGATGTAGCGCTGAACACGAGCTTACTTGTTACATAAAAGTAGCAAAATGTAAATAAAGTAGTATTTTGACTTCCATACAAAATACTAAATCACTATATATTAAAAACACTATACCTGTATTAATTTGCATTAAAAAAAACAGAAGCAAAAAATGGTTGAGGTAATTGGCCTATGAGTAACGTTTTGGAAACTATAACAGGGAAGCTAAAAAAGATTTTGAGAAATAAAAATAAACAGCAATTCTGGGACATAATGACATAATGAGCCTTTAATTATGAAAGCGAACATCTTGATTGATTGCATTGAAGACCAACCACAGTCAGATTATACAATTTGTTTTAAAATGCAGAAGTACTACTGTCAAACTTAACGGTTGTAGGTATAAAAATACGAGAAAAAGGTTGTGTTCGACTTATGCATAGGTCGAACTTCACAATTAGCGATGAATGAAACAGTTTGGATTAAAAGACTTAACAATGAACGGAAGTAAAACGTGCTTGTGCTCGCAAATAATGATACACATTACTCGTAATAAATGAAACAGTGATTCCGTTTGACCAAAAAAGGCAAAAGATAAAGCGTTAGATCGTGGGCGACCTTTCAAGAAAAATGATTAAACTTTAATTTCAGTACAAATATATGTGTGCTTCAGTACATTTTATGAAACAGGAAGTGTAATATACATAAAATATTTAATATCTTCTTTCATCAAGATTAATTTGATAAAGAAATAAAAACTGTATTTTATATGATCTGACAATTTTGTTACTTTACATTAAAATTCCATGCATACTTTGTACATAAAATTGTTTTTTACGGCATAACAACACAAAAACTGGTGATTACAAAAAAGTATAAGATTACACTGTTTTTTAGTCAACTTTCAAATACAGAACTCATACTGTTTACAGATATTGGAATACTTAAAAACCTTACTTGCACGTTTTGAAACCGTGCTGGCATATTTATATCAAATTCTCAAGAAACAAATCTTCATACGTCAAGAACCTTAAGCTGGAAATTGCAAATTTTAAATTGGAAGCTGTTCCCGCCCTCTTTTCATTGAACATGCGTCTAGCACATACTGCTTGTATTGTAAGGCACGTGGTATTAAGACAGGTAAATACCCGAATTTGTGCGATTAAAATTGTCCTTAATGATAACGAGCGCAGTGATAATAAACTTTAACCATGGGGGATGCAGTGCAAAAAGAATTCTTCGGTAAAACATCAAAAGATGAAGACATATACAAGTAAGAAGATTTATTCCATGTAATCTCATATTTTATATAAAGGCATGCGTTGTTGTACATGATGCAAATGAATGTTATTTTACATACATGTACATATTTGACCTTGAAGTAAAGAGGGTTGTAAAGTCGTATCATGAGATAACATTTGTATCGTTAACCACCTTAAGATAATATCTGCATAACTTTATAAACAATATTCATCTTAGTTTGTACACAATAAAATTGATTTATTCATACATTTAAAATTATTTTATTACAGCATTTTTTGTTGCGAAAAAAAAACGACATGGCGTAAATCAGCCACCATACTAAAAGATGACAATTGATAGTCCATGCTAATTTCCATGAAAATTTTGAAATTGTAAAATGTAAAACATCGTAAAGTTAACAAAGAAAGTAATTTGCACTTTACAAACAGCATAAACATCCAAGTAAATTACCACAAGGTGGTAAAAATATGCAAAATACCTTTTACTGCATTAGTCATGGAGTAGAAATTTGGTGAAAATACTGCAAAAATCAGTCATTAATCGCACAAGACATGTAAATTATTACTTGAATCATGAATATTTTTACTTCTTTTAAAATCATAGTACATTTTTCTCAAGTTAGATTTTCTTGAAATATTTTGGCTCATCTGGAGGCATGCATCTTTAAATGGCCTGTATCGGTACGAAATTATTTCCCTTTACACTGGAAAATCAAAACCAAAATTTTATTTTGATGGAATATTGTGTTTAGATAAATTACATAAAATAGTTTGTCTCATTCAACAAATAAAAAAGTACTAAACATACAGTATATAAACGAAACATCACTGTACCCTTCTTGGGAGCCTATATATTTCAAGTTGACCCTTTCTTGAGAAACTACTTCTTTATATACTGTGAAACCAAACTAAAAGTACATATACCACAGTATGCCGTCGATTAAAATACGAAAATAAACTTGTTATTGCCAATGTTTTTTTTTTACATTTTGATAGCAATAAAAGGGAGACCACACGATTTGTTAACGCGATGCCAATTAAAAGGATATGACCTTATTGTTGTAAGAAAGGAAACATAAAACTGTTAACATATATAAAAAGAAAGAAAGAAATCCCTACAAACTAAACAATCGTGACCATTACATAAGTTGCAAATACTTTTTTTTAAAGCAAGTCATTTAACTATTACTTCTCACAAAAATCTCCGTGTTTTTACCCAAAAAAAGTAACGTTTCTGATAATGACTTTTTTATAAGGTTCACGCTGAGTAATAAGAACAAAGTGAGTGTCAGCATTCTGAACTTTGGTTGTATTGTCTACGAAATCAATCTACCAGACAAGGACGGAAATGTTGTTGATGTTAATCTAGGATATGATAACGTGAAGGGTAAGATAACAGATTTTTACCACTGATAATTATCATAATTAATTTCACAGTTCACGGTAGGCAAATTTCCGTATGATTCCGTAGAGTACATATGTGTCATATCGACAACTTCCGGTTCGCGTGAACAAGCGGAAGTGGCCGAAACATACTTAGAATATTGTGGAAATTGCAGGATTACACATTGATCGTATGTTAACTAGTCGGCAATTTCTAACTTTTTAAGTTTCTTGTAATTGAAATAGAAGAATTATGAAAATGAAGACCACCTTCGAAATAACTCAAAAATGCTATCGGTTTAGCAGATACTATTTTCCTTAATCATTTAACATTCTCTTTTGACGACGTTTTGACTTGGATGGAAACTACACATAAGAGCATACATATATATGAATAATCAAGTTGTCCCATCTTCCAGCTTAACTCATTTTTTTGTAATTTTGAATAATGCATGACTTTGTAATGTACATTACATTTTGCGAAAGAATAATTCAAATTATTTAAAGCTTCAATATACCAACAGATTATGAAGGGAATAATAACTATTTCGGAGCCCTGTGTGGCCGAGTGGCAAATAGGATTAGCGGTGCTAAATTCACCCTCGACGGTAAAACCTTTGAGGTATCAAAGAACGATCCGTTCGGAGGTCACTGGGTTCATGGTGGCTTTGTCGGCTTCAGCAGGGTAATGTATTCTTTAAATCTAAATTTATCTAAATTTATTGCTAATACTAGAAGTTCAAGTTATTCATTACGAGTTCGGTGTACAAAATGCATTGGTGTGCATTTACTCGCTCATCCCATTGATAAAGGAGATAAAGTATAGTTAACTCAATGAAGTGTACACGAAGGCGCTATAAAAAGGAAATTGGCATGCATAACGAATGGAATTTAAAAAAAAAACAACATGAAAGTACAATTGTACATGGTTGCGGATATAACCAAAATAACAGTATTGAATGTTACTATTTTTAAAAGACGATAATTTGACTTCTTATGTCGTCATATTCTATCAAATAAGCACCCCAAACCCTATCTCACCCCCACCCCCCCCCCAAAAAAAAAAAATAAATAAACAAAAAAATAATGAAACAATGCCCGTTTCATTATTAAAATACTACTATATACGACCTATCTTGTCCTAAGTAAATGGTTTTTCGAGTAAGCAGTAGAAAGTACAAAAAATTTGAAAATCGTCTTACATCAGTACCTTAAGCACTTATCACATATTCGATAACATAGTGTTAAATATCATTTTATTTCAGAGGGTTTGGAACTACGAAATTAAGAACAATTCACTGGTACTCAGTTACACAGATCCTGATGGTAGCGAGGGGATGCCCGGGGAGGTGGTAACGCACGTGACATACACTCTTGACGACGACAACGTACTCACTATGGACTACAAGGCTACTACCACTAAGCCAACCATTATAGATATGGGCAGCCATTTTATGGTTAACCTGGCGGGGCATGTATGTAAACGGCTTTTCATACCGACATTAATAACATTGTTAAAAATTTGTTCGAAAAACAATACAAAAGAAAAACCGCATATCGAATGACGTTTCAAATATTTAATAATAATAGTACTTTCCCAGTGAAGTCTTCAAATAGGCCAGCCTCTTTAACCATGGAATTTAAAGCATTGGTTTTGTAATATCTTATTGTTGCACCACACATAAAAAGACATCTACGACGTAAAACGAATTGTTGAATAAATATCATTGAAACTGTTCATCACTGAACATTTTACATATGCAGGGCAAAGGGGCAATAAGGGATCACGTGATCAAAATTGGCTCAGACAGATATCTAGAAATGATGAGTACAGATCACCTTCCAACAGGTAATCTAACACGTTCAACTTGTTCAAAACTTTTATTTAAAAGGATATACTGATTGGTTTTTTTTTTGTTTTTTTACATAACGGGACTACAAATACTTTTTTCGAGATTAAGGGTTCATTACCAATAACTCGTGTTCAAAATTTCTGATCATTTGCTCTCTCTGGTTTTCCCTCAAATCGAGCTAAAAAGCGCAAAATACTATTTTCTTTTAATTCTGAGTACATTTCATGAGTAACGATTGCATTTCATTTTGTTTAAAGTGCCCAAGTTTACCTATATAAGAAATTCAGACTTTATTTTTTTTTTGCTTTTGCAACTCAGTTGAGTGCTTGATTTACCGGATGTTCAAGCTTTATTTTTTTATACAATCACCAAAGACGCATTGCTTAAACTGATACCGCATGGGAAGTAAGGGGTTAATTAATATATAAAGTATTTATGTGGCAAACTGGGGGTTTAAAGAAATCGTGTTCATTTCAGGTAAGACAATTTCGGTGGAGGAAGACAAAGTCATGGATTTCCGGCAGCCGAGATGTGTGGACGGCGACACCCTTGAGAAACTAACTGGTGGTAGAGCGTTCTGTCATGCATTCTTGTTTGATAAGCGGGGAGAGAAAAAATTCATGGCAAGGTAGAATACTGCATTTCAAGTGAATTTTATTAAATGCAGATTTTAATCAACATGTTTTTACTCCATAGTGTCTTTTTGGGGGGAAAGGGTGAAGGTGGGGGGGTGGGGGGGGGGGGAAAGGACATGAAATTTTTCTGAAATGTATTTTTAGATTTCGTTTTGAGGCATACATTTATACATGCATATTACATATTATAATTCATAAGTAAAAAAAATAAATTAGGCCATATAATATTATATAGTTTAAAAAAAACCCAACATATTTTGAATTCCCCTGTATTCACATTTCAGGGCAGAACATCCAGAAAGTAAACGCTATATAGAGGTTTATTCTACAAACACTACCGTGTTCGCATACAGTAACCACTTCATGGACGTGATTGTTGGAGACAAACCTTGCAAGGAGGGCGTGGCTTATCCAAAATATGCCGCCATTGAGTTCATGCCAATGGGTTATGCGAATTCTATTAATCAGGTATATTAATTATCAACTATAACAATACAGCACAACTTCTTCAGAGCAATACACCTAAAGTTACAATGAGTTTGGTTGTTGTCGAAAGGTTGATGTTCTTATTGAAAAGTCTTACTTTGGGGGAAACTAAATCTCTTGTTGTAAAAAGGTTACTGTTCTACAGATGTCCGTTCAGCAGAGGTTGAACTGTATTCCTACGTACATAAAACTAATGTTACTGAACAGGCTTCACTTCAAAGAAATTATACGCAGTCAAAATCCAAGCTTCTTATAACTGGTTTCTGGCCATGCACAGTCTAGTGGCATGAAAGGCAATATCCGCCTGGAGATTACTTTTAAATTATACATGTACATTGACTTATTAAAATTTTCTGGTATGACTGCAACGTATGACAGCAATTTCTTGTCATATTACCTTTAAAATGCATACCTCTTGGTGTCAATTTCATTCAGTAACATAAGATGTATGATTTGGACTTGGAATTTCATAAAATTCGGGAAAAAACAAGGACGTTGTTCACTTACGAAGCCTTCCTGGACATGTGGAGATACAATTACTTCTTTACGTACAGAGAACACTGTAAATGTATCTATATATTTGTCAATTTTATGCTCACATAATATTTGGCTACTGATTGACAATAACTTTATAAAACGTTTGTCGTTCAAACATTTAAAAACTATGGACATGCTAATATTGAAAGCGTTAATATTTAATTCTATAACTCGTTAGACTGTTATAATTGAAATTATATATAAAATCCTTGCACAGATCTTTGTATACCTTCGCTTCCTGTTGGGCTATTTTCTATACGCCCGTATGAGGAATAGCAAAATTATTTTGTCATCTTATTAATTCCCCTTCAATATTTAAGGGGCACAGTAATGCCTAGGTCATAAATAAAACGGGCGCCGTCCGATTAAACGATTTTTATAAAATCGGCAGATTTTTTGATGTCGTGGACGCCGGGCGATTTTAAATCTGATACCTTGCGTGGTCACGAATGAAACAGTCGTCGGGCGATTTTTGCCGGGTGGATTTTACAGAAAGAATTGAACGGATCAGGCGGTCGCCGCCCGATGTCCGTACGGCGCCTGTACGATTTAAAAGTGAATCGGACGGTTGCCGCGCGGGCGCCGGGCGACAATAACTTTACATTTAATGACATTCTAGATAAATCAGCCAGTTGTAATTATGCCAGCAAAGAAGTCAGCTGCCAAACCCAAGGGGAAGGCCAAGGAGTTGGTCCGTGTTGTTGACAACGAGTCACCAACGGCCAGTATCGAGGCCGTAGAAGGCGAAAATCAATCAGACATTCGCATGGACATTGAAGAAAAAAATCATGTTTACTAGTATTCAAAAGAAATTCACAAATATATTTTTGAGGCAATTACAAATTCTTCAAGCTCAAATTACAACAAACACAAGCAGCCCGGTCGCCGGATGACAAAACGATGACCGCCCGGTGGCCTGTACATGAATCGTCCGGGTACCGGGCGATAATCGTTTTGACTACTTAGCTCTATTCAGGCACCGGGCGGGGGCCCGGCCGATGTTCGCCCGGACGCCTTTTAAATCGGACGCTGTTTTAGTAGAACAAAAAATCGCCTGATCAAAAAAATCATCGCCCGGTCGCCGCCCGGCGACCGAACGATGTCCGCCCGATGATATTTATACTCAGTGACCCCAAAAATTATCGTCCGGCCGCCGTTAGCTTTTAAGTATTACTTAAAACTCGAAGGCGCCCGCCCGATGAGCAAAATATTCAGCTGCTGCCGTCCGATAGTCACTGCCGCCGGACGGACGCCGGCCGATATTGCGATTTTTTGGAGAAACAGACGCCGCCCGGCGGCATTTTCTTATTTGTGACCTAGGCTTTAGGTGGCAAATTTTTGTTCTGTTACTCTTAACGTGACTTCTTGTTATGCGTGTATGTGGTCGCACGGTCACTTCTCACCAACTGTCCTTGATGCGTGTATGTGGTCGCACGGTCAATTTTAATATTTCTGTTTCAAAAGTTCTGCCTTACTCTATCAAAATTAACTCTGAGCATTATTCTTACTATGAACTAGACTCACTCCATAAACATCACTTACTAAGCCATATTCAATCCATAAACATCACTCACTGACGAATACTCGGTCCATACAAATCACTCACTGACAACTACTCACTCCATAAACATCACTCACTGACAACTATTCCCTCACTGAAAACTACTCACATCATTAACATTGCTCACGAGATTTACTCACACCATAAACATTACTCACTGAGAACTACTCACTCCATAAACATTGCTCACTGAGAATTACTCACAACTTAAACATCACTCACTGACAACTATTAACACCATAAACATTACTCACTGACAACTACTCATACCTTGAACATCACTCACTGACAATTACTCACATAATAAACATCACTCACTCACAATTACTCACACCCTAAACATCACTCACTGACAACTACTCACACCATAAACATTACTCACTGACAACTACTCATATCTTAAACATCACTCACTGACAATTACTCACATAATAAACATCACTCACTCACAACTGCTCACATCATAAACATCACTCACTGACAACTACTCATACTTTGAACATCACTCACTGACAATTACTCACATAATAAATATCACTCACTTACATCATAAACATCACTCACTCACAACTACTCACACCATAAACATTACTCACTGACAACTACTCATACCTTGAACATCACTCACTGACAATTACTCACATAATAAACATCACTCACTCACAACTACTCACACCTAGAACATTACTCACTGAGACCTACTCACATCATAAACATTACTCACTGACAACTACTCACACCTTTATATAAATAAACATCACTCACTGAGAACTACTCACACCTTTTATGCTATATATAGAGACAGGCTGGCGCATTTAAAAATTAATATTATTCATTAAGTAAGAGGTTTGACATCGTTAAGTAATTGTTTTCTTTTTTTCTGAAGGAGAATTTTCCACAATCTGTTGTCAGACCAGGAGAAGAATACCACGAGACCGCCTGGTATAAATTTGGCGTCACGGACTGAAGCGACACCCGGTGGATTGTTATTTTTTCAAACAATTTTACTAAACATGTTAAATGATTCTGTTCATCGTTATCGTTGGAATAGAAGAACATCTTACTCATTTGTATTACTTATATTATTATTTATATTCTACATGCAAAGAATAAATATTTATTGAAAGTTATGCGTTGTAAATAAAGTTGTTTTCTTTTGTTTTTGATTGTAGGATTTGATCTTTGAAAACACTTATGGAAGTTCTCGTTTGATTGAAATGTCTTCCTTTTCTTCTTGACACAGTTCTCTTTATGACTTACATATTTAAAATTTATAAATAAAAAATATACGAATAAATTATAAACAGATCAATTAAGAAAAAAAGGGGAAGAAAGAAAGGAAGAGAGAAAGAAAAGAAAAAAAAAGCAAATCGGACAGTTATGAATAGAAAATAAATATATTTTCAATTCAATGCCATTCCTGTTAAAATGCGTACTTACTTCATATGTAATTATAAATAATCACATAAACGAAGAATAATATGACAAAAAAATAGGAAATTACTTTACACGAGCAATTATGTCATTATGTAAATAACACATAGTATTGTGAGTCACATTAAAATATCATCCCGAGGAAAGTTTATTTCATGGAGTAGATATTGCATAGAGAGTAACGCTTTCAATGTCAAAATTGTTCAATGAGTAACATTATATAAATAACACATAACCGAGGTTAAGAGGGATGATTTTTTTTCTGTTACTTACAAACTTATGTGTTGTTGTTTTATGTTGTGTTATTTTATCACCCTGAACAAAAAATTCATTGGGACACTATTTCTAAAAGTTTTCATTTTTTTATATTTTACTGTGAAAAAGTACTGAGTACAAAATTTTCGTCACATGGAGTACATTTGAATTAACAGTAAGAATAACTATCATTGGCCTATGAGAAATTAACAGTACAAAAATAGTGAGGGGTAAAAACAACAAATGCCAACCAATACCTAACCGTTCCTGTCCTAACCGCTCCTGTCGTAACAGGATACAAACTGTTTCTTTTCCGTATTTTACTTCCGTGAAATACGAATATTATTACACCCGTTTTGTACAAAAAAAGTGCATAGAGTGTGTGTTAAATCTTTCGTAAAATTACACTAAAATTTAGGCGAGGACGTTATTTGATACATCCACCCGTCACCCGTGAATATTATGTATTTTCATTTTGTTAAAACGCATCGCGAACGGACACATGCCGCTTATATTTCAATATTTAGTAAGTTCCTTATTTGATGTGAAGTGGACTTGTTCAATTTAACAACTTGTCGTCAGCTTTACGATACGATCGAACTAGAGGATAAATATACATGTAGAGAAAATAGACAAACGTGTGCAAACGGAACATTTAATTATTTTTAATTAATACCTTTTCTAAATTTATATTAGCACGAAGAACATGGATAATAAACACTTTTCTTTAAAATAAAATGAAAATATCACTTGTATATTTAATAATATAAAAGAAACGTTACATACATATGCACATATAGTTTGATATTATAATAAAGTGCACTTTAGATATAAACGCAACACACATACGCTTCTTGAAACCTTTTCAAAGAAATGGAACTATAACTTTTAGTAAAACTAGACTGCACGTTTGTCATTATCATGTTATTTCTGACGTGTTCTTTTCAATTATAACCAGTATTTGAAAGTCATTTATCGGCAATTTTCTGAGGCATACCGTAAATACCGTTATTTTCATGACAGTGTCAGTGTGATTGTACATTTCTCATTTGTTTTTATTGATACACATTTAACGGTCAATCTAATTAAGTTACAACACTATTGTAAATGCATCAGGTTTTTTCAAGACGAGAGAAAAAGCAAATTTTAAGCAAAGTGATTTATATCTAGGAGAGAACTTATGAAACGGATATATTAAGAGGATAAGAACTCGTTTAGTGAATTAACCGTGGTTGAAATTCACGTAGTTTGAGAAAATGTTACTCTCTTCAAATTTTGAACCAACGATAGAAAATGCGCCGTGTCCGCCATTTTTTGTTGAAAATGTTTACGACATCTTTATAACTACAGCAGCAAATAATAATCTCACTGACAATGTGACAGAAGGGGTATGGAACAAATGCATGCTTCAATATCCTTACCCTACAACCACCACTACAACAACGACACTATCCACGACGTCAACGACAGAGCAGACGACAACAACAACGCCAAGGCAGACGACGACAACAACGCCAAGGCAGACGACGACAACAACACCGAAGCAGACGACAACAACAACACCGAGACAGACGACGACAACAACACCGAAACTGACATCAACAACACCGAAACAAACGACAATAATCACAACTGAAGAGACGGAGACGACAACAACACCAAAGCAGACGACAACAACGACACAACAGCAGACAACAACTTCACAAAAACAAATAACCACAAAAACAAAACAGACAAGTACTTCAACAACAAAACTAACGACAACATCTGCGACCAAACAGACATCAACGTCTACAATAAAACCAACAACATCAACACCCACATCAACACACACAACAACAACTACAGAGCAGACGACAAGTCTTACTACCTCTTCATCAGAGGCCGTAACAAGAAGTCCCGCTACACTTACATTATCATCAAAATGTGACACTGTTTGTCTGTCCTTGGCACTCATGTTTTCTGTTTGTGTTTTATTGGGAATACTTATTACTTTGTAAGTACAGAACATTTCCTTTTTTATTTTATAACTCATCTTCAGATTAAACTCAGCAAAGATAAATTAAGCAGTTAATTTACATCGTTTTCTAACTATAATTCTCTGTACAATTCAATAGCCCCATTCTGATAATAATACAAACATTTTGCATTTCAAAGGAAAAATTCCACTTTTCTATTTAAGATATTGTTATTAAAAATAAGCTTTATTTTTTATCTTTTATATAAAAAAATAAGCAAAGTCAATTTCAGTTTGATTTTATGCAAAATTTTCGGTTCAACGATTCGAGCAGCGTTTTAAAATTATTTAGTTTCTTAAAGGGACTCCCCTGAGGTATTTTGACATGACGGGACTGGAAATAACTTTTGTAGATTGACGTTCCATTTGATGTAAAATTTCATACCATTTCATAAAGTGATGTCCTCGTTTTTTTGGGTTTTTTTTTGTCTTTTTACTTCTTCGTTTCATCGTTTTCCTCGATGAAATGAATAAACCAATATGCACGGATAAATCGACTTATTAAAAGTTTTGACAGATTAACTTGCAAGTCAGTCCAGAAAGAATGAAAAGGATAAGTGGCACCGATTTTGACTGTAGATTTATCAAATCTACTAGTCCTAATTATAAGACCTATACGTAACCTATTTCATATTTATCATTCATTAATCTGATATTTTACATTTTTCATTTTCCATGTTACGTTAGGTCTTAACAGATCTTTGCAAAATCGTGTAGCAAAAAATTGACATTAGACATCGATCCAGAAGTTTCTAACGGAATATTTTTTCAACGAAATAATTGCCCATGCACCGTCAGTGTGTTCAAATATATTTTTCCGTTCAAAAAATTGGAATCAATCTGTAAAACGCTTTATTTAACCAGTATGGCCGATGAGCGAAATAGACTGATATTTATATTTTATTTTTAATTGATAAGTACATTGTTTTAAAGTTTTTTCTACATGTTAGAAAAATGACATAAAATCAAATATAACGCTGGTCTGAATAACAAAATAAGAAAAAAGTCGGACTTTGTCGTATTTTCGGGTTTTTGTTTTTTTTTTTTTTTTTTTTTTTTTTTTTTTTTTTTTTTTTTTCATTTTCGCAGCGAAAAGGACAAAAAATAGGCAAAAGAAGAAAAAACGACAAATAAAAATGTCTCTTTTAATGACGTAAATCAACCACCAAAGTAAAATGAGACTTGTTATAACATTTTACTGGGTTCATGTTCACAGTAGCGTCATGTTTCACTGTATAAAACTGTTTTGTTATAAATAGCATTTTATAAGGTGGACTGCATTTAAAACACTGATTTTTGTTTAACACTTATCTGATTACCGTCTGCTATTCAATATTTTTTCTAGATTTTTGTGCCCCCACGTTAGTGGCGGGCATTTAGATTTACCCTTGTCCGTCCGTCCTTCCGTCCGTCCGTCCGTCCGTCCGTCCACTTTTGTGTCGCACGTAACTCAAAAAATAATTGACATAGAGTCATGAAACTTTACAGGAATGTTGATCAGCATGTGTAGTTGTGCACCTGAGTATTTTCGTCTGGATATTTTTAGTATTTTCAGAGTTATTGCCCTTGACTTAATAAAATTTTGCAATTTTCAACTTGTGTCGCATGTAACTCAAAAAGTATTTGACCTAGAGTCATGAAACTTCACAGGAATATTGATCAACATGTGCAGTTGTGCACCAGGTTTTTTCGTCTGGATTTATTTAGTATTTTCAGAGTTATTGCCCTTGACTTGCAATTTTCAACTTGTGTCACAAGTTACTCAAAAAGGATTTGACATAGAGTCATTAAACCTTATGGGCAGGTTGCTCAGCATATTTAGATTTGCACCTGGGGTTTCGCTTGTGGATTTATCCAGTATTTGTAGAGTTATTTCCCTTGACTTAGTAAAAAGATTGACAGAACAGTGGCGCGGTGGGGGCACCCGTGACCTATGGACACATTTCTAGTTTTTTCTTTTTTGATATCTGCTGCTTCGAACAACACATGCTTATTATCGCCGAAATAATGTTTCATCCTATGGTAATTTTGAATCCCAAATTGTAAAAAATGTTCTTCTAACTTCATTTTCAAACTTATCATTTAAGATATACTTGTAGATCTAACGTTTTTAGCTCGACTTTTCTATGAAAAGGGGAGCTATCCTACTCGCCCCGGCGTCGGCGTCGGCGTCGGCGTTGGCGTCACACCTTGGTTAAGTTTTTCGTACCACCCCACTTTATTTCAGAAGTATTACAAGTATGGCTTTGAAACTTACCATACTTGTTCACCATCATAACCTCCATCTACAGACAAGAGTACATAACTCTGTCAAGGTTTTTGACATAATTATGGCCCTTTTTTGACTTAGAAAGTGTATTGAGCTTGGTTAAGTTTTTTGTACCACCTCACTTTATTTCAAAACCATTGGAGGTATTGCTTTGAAACTGACCATACTTGTTTACCATCACGACCTTCATCAACAGACAAGAGGACATAACTCTGTCAAGGTTTTTGACAGAATTATGCCCCTTTTTGACTTAGAAAATACATTGAATATGGGTAAAATCCACTTATTGCCTTAACCCTTTGAGATATTGCTTTGAAACTTTTAATGCTATTTCACATCATTACCCCCATCTGTACGCAAGAGAAGGTAACTCTGTCAAGGATTTGTTTTAAAAATTAAGGCCTTTTATCGACTTAGAATCTTGGTTAAGTTTTTAGTACCAGTCCACTTTTTGACTGAACTGTTTGAGATATTAATTTGAAAGTTGGAATACTTGTTTACAATCATGATTCCCAAACATGTCCAGGAGAAGGTAATTCTGTCAAAGATTTTATTTGAATTATGGCCCTTAACTGTCAATGTTTTGTATTATAGGCAAGCACTAAAAAACTTAAAAAATCTAAAAAAATTCATTCCTATCCACTTGTTCACTTTACCATAAATTATGTCATATAAACATTGCTGTAATATTCAAGGGTATCAAACAACTAGTTCACTTTAAAAATACAGAGATTCTTGTATTGCCTTTTACTGCAAAAACTTTTTTTATTGGCAAGCAATAAAAAAGTCGAGCGCGCTGTCTTACGGACAGCTCTTGTTCAAAAGAATTGTTACTATCGTCTGCTTTTTAGTTTTTCTTGAACAATAATTGTCGTCTGCCTTTTACAGGATATATTGCAACATGAGACACCGACACCAAAAGCACGTGATGAAACATAGTAAAAGACCTAAAAGAAAGGTAAGATACCCGGAATCTGTAAGTCTTTGAACATTTGATTATTATGAATTTATTATATTATTTATTCATAGATTAGTGAATAAGATATATGCAGTAGTAAGCTAAAACTTTAAACTTATAATATTGTTACCTTAGTGCAGTAATGGGTTAACTCTTTATATTATTTAATAGAGTTAACCTGTTACTGCACTAATGTGACGATATTACATAATCTGATCTTATATTAACATTCTCATGTTAGGATGGTATTCCATTACCATATAAAGGGCAAATGGCTGAACCTGTCTGATGTAATAAACAACTAAAACGCTGTACTTGTGGCGTCGATGTCAGAAAAGTCTTCACTACGCAATTTCCCTAACTATTTGGTTATAAAAATCATAAAGTCATATCATTACTCATTTGGAAAAAAACAAACACGATTGGTAATATTGTCGTACACCAAATCCGATTTGTCGTATGGTCATATATATTTTTAAAACGTATCAATAAAACAGCAAGCTAAACGACAGAAACAAGTTCCGACTGTTCTGTTTTTAACTAATTGCGCATCGTTGAAACAGAGAAGTAAAATAATTTACTTTGTGTTTTCTTTACAGATCTCTAACGGAAAATACATCCCGAAATTTCCCAAGATGAGCAAACAGGCAGATTTGAAAAAGAGCCCTCTTGCTTTTATTAACCCATCATTTCTTACTGAACACGAACATATGTCGGACCCCTTTGATTATTATTCAGCCGAGTACCAGCCAATTGATAACATGTATCCCTGGAACCATCCACAAAACGATTTATTTTTGGAGTATAATCAGCCTCACTATGAGTTGATTTTTAGTTCCGGTGGACGTCAATTTCACGCTGACGAGAAACGGAATCATCAATATTCAAACATAGGCGGGAATCCATCTCACGCCGATGAATTTGCCAAAAGGCGCTCTCGTCACCCGTCGATTGGCAGTCATGTACCAAAAATGCTCCCAGAATATGCTGAGATATACCCATTTGGTATAGAAGTATATGATACAAGTTCAAGGAATAGTGGACTTCCTAAAATAGATCTTGACTACAATAATGCAGACGAGAAAATAGACACTGTGATAAGGGAGCACAAATTACCAAGAATTCCTTTCGAAAATGATTTTGTATCAGATTCTCCTTACAAAGGAACAGATACGCGGCAAGATCATCCTGGTGAAAAGAATGAAGAACACAAAAGAGGTAACGGTGCGTTTATTCACGGTCTTCCAAGAATACCATTAGACTTGGAGCAAACAGGCGACGAATTGCGTGAAAAGCCTTCATGGCAATTAGGTTTACCTAAGCCACAAATAGACAAAAGGTATAGTAGGGAAATTGAACATGAAGAAAATTACATCCGCCATCCGAAGCATGGCCTTCGAAGAACTCCGATTGAACCGTCGGGGATAGGACACTTTGAATTAAATAAACGAAACAGACGAGAAGATGATTTTGCTGATCGTGAAAGACAAAACAATGGGGATAATGAAAAATTTAAATCGAACACATATTCGCTTTATCAAGGACGTAAAGATGGCAATGTTAGTAGAGTAAATAAATCAAAGAGTCGTCTTAAAGAAGGTGATACTTCAGATCAATTATTCACTTACTCGGTACCGTACACAAAACTTTAGAATCGTCTTATCTGATTAATAACAAATTGTAGCAAACAGTTCAAAATATTCGATTGTACACAAAAAGGACCTAGTACACAATTAAGATAATTATACACAATTTATGTTATGTTATTTTGTTAAAGTATACATGTATATTAAAACTAAATGAAACAATTGATGTATGAGTATAATCATGTTATATTTATATTGTTCCTTTGTCATACGGCATTGTTCTGCGATTATGGTGTACATGACTGCAGTAACACTTTAATATCCTGCCAAGGTTGCATTCTTTTTTTGTTTTGTTTCCAAGGAAACGGCAACCGTTATTGAAAAACGATTTAATCCACCTTGCGATATAAGCACATGGTTTTAGCCGTGCCTCCGTTTTATTTTGACATAACTTATTAAAAAAAAAACAACAAAAAAAAACGTTCATCACATTTTGTTTGCAGTTGTACTAAATACATAAGTATCGTCAACAGCTTTTCGATGAATTTTATAAAGATTTAATAACTAACGAAAATGAAATCAACCACCTATTTGGCCTTTTCCGTCATACTTCGATCTGTTATGAATAACATGCGACAATATTCTGAACAGAAACAAAAGTGTTAATATCCACTTTAGCACAATCGTAGCTTTGTTCTTTTTAAATTTAAAAAGACATGTTTTTACATGAATTATTTCAAATTTATTTCTAAATAGTCAAACTGAAAATATAAAAAGTTATAGCTAAGAAGTTAAAAAGATTTTGTTTTGAAATTCAAAAGGACTGGTCACTATAAGTGAAATGGCTAGTATTTTTAGCCATTAGCATATCGTATGCTGCAAAAAAAACACGTGATTACGATCCTGAAACAGAGAGTCCTTTTGATATCATTGAACACATTATGCAAGAAGCGAACGTTTAAATTCTAAAGTAGGAAAATACACTGAGAACAAGCAAGGAAACCATTAAACTATGAGCCAACGATGCACAAGCTGCATGGTGTTTTACCCGAAACATTTCACAATAGTAAACATTGTAAATGCTGAATACAATAAGCATAAATAGCGCTGAATAAGGAAAACTTATAAGCAAAGAAAATATTTGTCATTATGCAAATATTGCTTATTACAGCAAGGCGTTTCTAGTAATAAATGTAAGTAACATGAGTAGTTCTAGGTTAACCTCTCGCTGGTAATGAAAATGTTAGGTAGTAATTTTTCGCCCGTAGACTTATTGTTTTAATTTTGGCTTCCGATTGATTTACTTGTTATTCACCATCCTGTGTAGGCTTTGCTGGACAGATAATTCGCGTGAAATGTCATTACCAATTGATATCAGAATATATGAAAATTCTTAAACCAAGATAGACACGGTCAAATGTTGTTGTGTTTTTTTTAAAAAAGTAGGATAATCAACTGCCACAGCATTAATCAACATTAAACAACAGCCTGTATGAGATCCATATATCATTATATGTGATTGCGACATCTAAACCAATTGGTATATTGCGATGTAAAATATTTTAATAGATAATTAACAAAAATAAATATACCATAACTCAGCTCAGTGTGGTATTTCATTTCCATATTGTACTTATTTTTTGTGTATGTTTCGCAATTGTTTCCTTTTTGAAACGAGGAACATTGTACAAGGGAAACAACTCTTCTACTGTAAGTTATCTGCAAGGGTTTGGGTTAGTGCCCTCATGTTGCGACATAACAGTTCACTAGTAGGTGATGATTCATGTAAATATCGTACTTAATGTATTTACTCCATGTCACTATACAAATATCATTTCTATGATAATCTTATCTTGAGTATATTAGTTTTCGAATTTTATGATCACATTATCAATAATAGTTAAAAATGGCTTTTATCTTATAAGTTGACTTAAATGTCCATTATGTCCCATTGATTTCCTTTATAGCTTTATTTCTGCTGCACTTTTATAGTTTAAAAAACAACAAACAAACAACAAGAAACAGATACTCATCTGCCAATTACCTGATCGTGTTGCTTTTTCTCCGGGTTTTCCACCAATTAATCTACTTGTAGTGATTAAGTATTTTATTACGTCTATGACAAATAATTTCACATTTGTCGCTACTTTCTTCATGTAACAAGAATATAACATACTCAAAAACAATTATTTAAATTTTGTGAAACTCGGGTCTGCCCTTTCTAGAGGAGTAAAATATCATTTCTGAGGCATAAGGTGTCTTTTAAGAAAATAACGAAACTTTCAACAAGGGACAAACATGGAATTTCATTAAAGTATTTTATAAAATGTAAACAGTAGAGAAAAGTTGTATGGTTTTAGTGAATATGATGTAATTATCTCAATAAGAAATTCATTTTCATTAATATTATATCTTTCTTATTTGATATAATAACGCAAATTGAAACGGGAATAAAAATATTCTATATTTCACTCAGTTTTAAAGGGATATTCAGGCAAAATAATGACAAAAATATTAAAATGATTTTGTGTACTCAAATCAGGCTAAAATGACGTTTCTTGAAATTTCAGCATGAATTTCTCTTTGAATTTTATATATTTTGGGTTTGAAACGTAAATATATTTATATATGTTGAACAAAATTTAGACGCCAATAAAATCACCAAATAGTTTTAAAACAAGTCAGGTGACTTAAACCAACCCTTTAAGTTGCAATAACAGATAGTTTGGATATTGTATGATTGAAACAAGTCTATGTCATTCATTTGAAATGTTCTTTAACGTTTCCAGAGTTCACTTTGACAAATATTGCGAAATCATAGCGCTCTAACCTGACCCACGCGGGTCAAGTTAGGAGACCACCATTTTATTCTTTATATGGAAAAAAGTTTTGTTCCATTGACTGTCTAATATATTTATTTTAAGGGCATGTACCGAATAATGAATGAACATTTCAAAACTAAGAAACGAAAATTGTGCATGTGTCTCACTTTAAACATTGTGATACGACTTATATCTCACTGAAACATTTTAATATTGCAATAAAAAACAGATGTTGCAGCAAAATAGTTATACATTTTAGTAACGACTTGGTAGATACACTGTAATTGTATGACGATATGGTACAGTTTAAATCAGTTTAAATTGATATGACATGTATAAATACAGTGTCTCACAAGAAAATGCTTAATATATAACAAAAATCATTGATTAATAAATTCGATTTATGAAATTCAATCAAGATATATAAACCCAATCAACACAATATATACATGTATATTATCCATTGTATCCGTGCATAATCATTTCACATTACCTGAAAGAAAAATGTGAAGAAGAAAAAAAATACATGTGTCTCTATAAGCAAATTAAAAGTGACAAGAGTCCGTTAATAGTTAAAGCTAGTTTGATAAGAATAATTTGCAATAAAGCTACTCCATTGAGGAAGAATAATTTTAAATCGTAAATCAGTCATATGTGAATCTACAAAAATTGGATGTGAAATATTTCAAAATGCAGGGTAAAGCTAATTTGACCGCGATTTATTTGACAATCCATGTTTTATTTCGAAACGTTTTATCTAACATATTTACCAGTTTCTAAATTTAGAACAAAATCAATACCTCTGATAACTTATTACGTATGGGTATTTCAAAATTTGTAAATTTTCGAATAAAAAGGGTGCGAATAGATAAATATGAGAAACAGTTTTTGTGAAATTTATCAATTTACACTACTATGGGATTTAGATTTTTCTCTATAAAGTTGATTGTTTTTATAACTATATTTGCCGTTTTATTACAAGGTACGGTAAATGTTTTATTTATTAAAATCTTTCTTTTTTTTTCAAAATTTTTGATATAGATCTATGTAAAATTCTGACAAATCTTCGAATTAGTACTATATGAAATAAACCTTTAACTTTTCTAAGTGAATAAACCGATGAATGTAAGATTTATGGAAATAACTCATTTAAAAAGATATTTAAGATAGACTTTTTATAGCTTTCTCCCCAATACCAAAATGTATTTAGTAAATATTGTTCACATGTTAAATGTTATGTTGAATAAGATATGTTTAAACCAAACTTTCATTTATCTAGATTATCAAGCTGAATGTAGAGGCGGTGGGCGTGGCGGTGGGCGTGGTGGTAGATATAGGGGCGCGAGAGCAGGAGGTTCAAGTGGGTACGTAATGCCGAACAGTTTATTGAAACGCTGGGCCTTTTAGTGGCATCAGTCACATAGAAAACAAAATATACTTGTTATGGCAAATGTAAATCAAAAACAAAAGTGTTTCATTATGAAAATAAGCTTAGCTATCAGTTACTTAATTGATCATATATATGTATACAGATAGGAGTATATTGATAAAAGTTGCAGTATTCTGTAAGAAATATATATAAATATATATTTCTTACAGAATACTGCAAGTTATAACAATATACTCCTATCTGTGCTATTCATTAACATAGAAAACTTCATTGAATTGACATTAGTATTATATTCTCTAGTTATATATTTTCTTCTATCGGTATACAGGCTTTTGGACATAGTTCAAAATGGAAAATGTTCCCGCTTTTATTTTGGAAATTAAAGGGATAAAAAGCAACCTGTGTAAAATATGGGGAAAACCATTGATTTACATATTGTCAGTTACCTTTTTCCCGAGATCTATACCTCCGGCGTCCTTCTTATTCCGTGTAGTGCATGGAGTTGTCCTATTCCAGAGGCTTCTTTGGAATTTTTACATGTCTGGTTCCAAAGACAAAAAAGCATGGCCCTCGGCTTTTTAAGATCACTTCCAAAAGACTATTGTGAGTAATAAAGCAAGCCCCGTGATAAACATCTGGTTCAGATCAATTGACTTTTTTCATTGTTTTAACAACTTATAAATGCTCGTATTAGTCTAGAAATAAATGGTGCATAAATAAATTTTGCAAAGAAATAACCATATTTTGGGATAAGATTGAGGAATAATTTACAAGTTTACTGTGTATCAATTATCAATAATTTCTAATATCAAATCTGAGTACAGTATATCTGTGGTTGATTGACCCATAGACATTTCGTTATTAAATATGCTTTTATTTTCAATTTTAATTTCAGTTCTGGTGGAGGGCCATGGTGGATCGTTCTAGTCGTGTTTGGAGGAGTATTAACTCTTATTGCAGTTGTTTTTGTAATAATATATTGTTGCAAGGCACGCTGATACCCAATTTCAACTTTTCGGCCCTTTCCGTCAGTCTTCGGATATGATAATATCCGAGGACGTTCCGATTGGCTGGTACCTTGCAGAAAAGACGCTGAATATATCGACTGTGATATTTTAGTTTTTCCTTATTTCTTCCGTCTATTTGTATTCTGACGCTCAAATAAAAATATGTTTGGTGTGCACGTTTAATCCGTGGCAAAATATCGTGCAATATGAACGTGATTGAGTGTGACATCAAATTAATGCTATAAATATTTTCTTTCATAA